ATGTACTGCTACTGTGCTCAGCCTCCGCGTTTCCTGCTCGTGTACTGTTGTCTTTGGGTGAATTTGAAATTCCCCTCCTTCCCGTCCTGCCAAATGAGCCGCTGGGTGCGTGGGCCGGCGCTCTGCTCGGCTCACCTCCCTACTGCTGGTTGGAAGCCAAGCATCACCAGGTGTACAAATGCACAGCTCAGCCCTGGACATCTTCACTGTGCACTCCATACTTTTAGACATAATATTTACAATTTCACTTGGCCTTGTACGCATAGCTTTATTCCAAATAAATGACTGTACTATATTTTTGCTAGGCTTTAACAGTTTTTCTGTTCTGTGGCCAAAATTGCAGCTGTGCCCAAACTTCTGGCTAGGGCACGTTGTAGAGCCTTTTATGGAGGCCCTGGACTCTCCACACCGTGCTGGGCTTGCAAACAGCCTGCAGCCGCTCCATCTCTCCACGCTGGCACCCCTGCTCAGGCGACAGCCCAGGAGGCTCTTGTGTGCCTCGGCCCCCATGGGTGTCCCGTCCTGCACGGAGGGGGGATTTCAGCCCCATGGGCTGTCGCGTGACAAGGTGGGGGCAAAGCTGCTAGAGAGGATGCCAGAAGCCAGGCCAGCAAATGGCTGCTGACCTCCTGTGATCATCCAGGCGAGTCCTTGGGCATGTGCTGAGTCAGGGGTTGAGTAATTCCTAGGAGCTCTAGGAAGTGTCAGTGGTTAATGAAACCAGGCAATAACATGGCATTAGTGGGTTCTTTTTTCTGGAAATTCCCGTGAAAACGACAGATCTCATGCAGTTGTGGTTGCAAGCGTGCATAGACCCTTTGCATGAGAATGGAGGTGGTGTTCCTGGCACCGTGGCCAGATTGCAATCCAGTCAATTATGGTCTGTTTACTTAAAATGCCACCTGCGGTTTTAGTAGGATCCAGCATTAATGTATTACCCTAAACCGTTGTGTGTTGTTACTGCCTGTTGTTTACAAGGTTGCCGTGAGTCTTCCCAGGAATGGCTGAGCTTGCTTTGACCTCAGTTCTGAGCTTGTGCATCGGTTTGTCTGCAAAGCACTTTGGGATTTCTTTGGAATGGGTAGAGAAGTTTTCTAAAGAACTACTTTTTTAATCTGCTGGATGCAGGCTTGGGTGGGAGCAGTTATTCCCTGCAGAGAAATTCGGCTGCTACAGCTGAGATTGCTTAACAGTGGCAGTTCTCCAGGACATCTTAACTAACTAAGTGCTGCTTCCTACCATTGCATCTGGAGTCCTTGGGAAAGGACATGATCAAATGTGTTAAAAAAGCATCTGTTTTCACAACTGTAGCTAAAATCCCTGGATAGCTGGGTGTAATTTTCCATTGTTTTTGAATGCGTGAACACGTACTGCCCTGTGAAAATAAGGAGTACTTGGAATATGAACTGCAGGCCTGCTTCAGTGCATGGTGGTGTGTGGTGCCAGTGACCTGGTTTTGATGAGTGTGTTCTTGCTTCCTCAGCAAGCAAGAGCCAAGGGACCTTCTCTTAGCAAGAAAAAGTGTGTTGGTGGGATTCTTCAAACTGTGAGACAGTGGTTGCAAATACCTGGCTTTGGAGGGAAGGGTGGACTAGACCAATCCCTTTTGTTCATATAAAAAGGCTTTTTTTAGAAACAGAAGGAGGTTTGGAGAGCAGTGGACACCTTCTCAGCTTGGTTTGAAGGAATTGCAAAGGGCAGCTCGAGTGCTTTGTCCTTTGCTTCTCTGGAGCAAAGATCACAGTCTTCTCTTTGCCCTTTGTGGTACAGCTGAGCAGGCTGGCTAGCAAAACTGCCTAGGAACCTTGATTTCCAGCCAAGAAAAATAAAATATGGAGCATGTAACACCTTCATTTGATAGCAGGTTTTGATAAGTTTGGGTATAAGGTGGAATCCAGTCCATTAGGGAAATTGGTTGCGCAAGGCACGAGAGAGATTTCGGTTTGCTGTGCCCAAATACATGGAGAAATTGGGTTACAACACGGGGAGGTGAAAGTCCCTCCTGAAAATGCTTGGAGGCACGATACGGCCAACCCAGTTCACCTGCAAACAGCCCCGTGCAGGGTTCTGAGATCTGTGATACGGGTCGATTGCACTTTGTCCGAGCCAGAGCAATACTGCTCTCATTCTTCACATTCCTAAACTGTTCACCTTTCCCCACCCAGCTCTTAGCAGAGGAAAAATCTCTAACTCGGCAGGGGAGGCTGAAAACGTCAAGGTATTGTGGAAGTGGGACGAGGGGCTTTTACGGGAGAGAAGAAAGCGGTTTGATCTCACGGGGCAGAATGGCTGTGCTGAAGATGGGCTGTAGCACTAGGAGTCTTCGTTTTGTCTGTTTGAGAATAATGAGGAGTGGCAGAGGTCTTGCAGAAAGATAAATGGTGGTGTGATCTCTGCTGAGAAGTGGTTGCCAGCTCTGTGTATTCCTAAAGGGAGAGCACTCCTGGTATCCTTAGCTGCAAAAATGGAGCTTAAAAAAGAGAGGTTACCTGCCTCAGAGGTGTCTGTAGAGCTGTGGGCAGGAGTTGCAGGAGGCAGAAGTCTCATCTGGAGTAAACGTTGTAGATCTTTGAAGTGTCCCTCGGAAATGTTTTTCTAGCGCATGCAAGCGTGAAGGGGGATTTACGGAAAGGAGGGGTTATTCGACATGTTGGAGGGAGTGGAGGAAATTCAGGAAGTGCTCTTTTAAAATTCCCTTTTAAGGAGCAGTGAACGTACGGTACGAAAGTGCACAGAAAGCAGCCATGACCACACACGGAGCAGAAGTTAGATTTCTCAAGGATTCGGAGTGGGGGGCTAGTTTAATTTAACTTTGGATAATTTAAGACATTGAATACAAAAGTAAGTTTTAAAAATATTTTGAGACGTTTATGTAAAAAGACTGTGTGTTTGTTAAGCATAACATCGAAGGATTTGGGCTGGAAATTAAAGAGCAGTGCAAACAAAAGGAAAACATAGTGCTTGGGGTTTTTCTGTTCTTCTGTGGTCAATCTGCAGAGTGTCTTTTGTGTCTTGATTGTTATTTTCAAACCAGAGTGGCTGTGGGAGACAAGTTCAATGCTATTCACAGCTCTGCTCATATTTTTGGCTAGAAGAAGTTGTATCCAAGGGGCGGGAGAGATGGGGAGCGGAGCTTAGCCCTGTCTCTGTGTTTCGTTCTCCTCAAGAGTTGTGCCTATTGAACACACTCCACATCACACCAAAGCGCGTTCGGAGTTGCCAGATTTGGTCAAGGCTCCCAGAGAAGCAGTCGCCCATGCAGGCAGGTCGTGTCAAAGCCTCCTGGCGCACCGCGTATTTCTGCCTTTAGAGCAGCGCGGGGTTCAGATCCAGGCTTTCCGATGGTCTTCTCCATCGCCTTCATGGGGTTTGCTGGGGTTGGATGTGGCCCCTGCACTGTGGCTAACGCTTGCTCTCACCGGCTGCAGGGTTTTGGCTGGTGTGGACCATCATCATCATCCTCAGCTGCTGTTGTGTTTGCCATCACCGACGCACCAAGCATCGTCTGCAGGCCCAGCAGCGGCAACACGAGATCAACCTGATCGCTTACCGGGAAGCCCATAACTACTCAGCCCTGCCGTTTTATTTCCGTATGTACCTATGCCATTTTTCCTGGAGGTGATGGGGAGCAGGGCAGCAGTGAGTTTCCCGTGTTGGGTGGAAGCGGGGAGCAGTGGTTGGGCTCAGCAAGAGGTGGGAGGCAGCTTTGCTGCCTAACCTTGGCTTGTAGAGAGGAGATGGCATGTTCCAGCTCCTGGAAGCATTTGAGCCCTCTTGAGTCTGGAGTTGAACCACACCGGCTACAGCCCCTTCACACCCACCATGATTTGCCTCTGTGAGTGTGGTGATTCCCTGTGTGTTTTTCTGGGAAGGTTCTTAAAATGTCTTGTTCAGGACTTTGTGGATGCTCCTCCTTTCCAGCCTGAACTTGCTGCTGGTGGGACTGAGATGTGCGAAGCGGCTCCACGAAATTCGGTTCCACAGGCTGGGTGGAAGTGGTGCCTCCGCAGGGACCATGCTGGCTCCCGCCCTGTGCTGCAGTTCCCAGATGACGCTGCTGGTGAGCAGCCCTAGGAGCTCGCACAAAGGAGCTGTTGCCCATGGCTCAGGGCAAGCACAATCGCCTTGTGCTCTCCTTCGTGCCCTGCTACACTCTGCTAGAAGAGCAAGTCTCGGCCTTTTGACTGGAGGTTCCACAACTAAGTTTCCTGTAGTGGACGGCTAAATTGCATGTATGAACGTGCTTTTCTCCTAAAACACTTGCGGTCACCTCAGAAATAATCCCCAGCAGCGCTTTCCTCCCCAGCCCCAGGGATACGCAATTGCACCTGGAAAACTGCAGTGCTGTCTTTAAATGGTTCCAGTGCTTAAGTCTGTTCTGTCTATATAGATTATTTTATGCCCCTTAAGAAATAAACAAAATCTTTGATAGATTTGAGGGGCTGTAAGTACAATAAACCAAACTCTCTTGCCAGTACTGCCAATTTATTCTGACAGCACCAGAAAATCTGCATCCAGCATTAAAACAATAACCAAAAGCCAGGATCCTCAGTTCCTCGCAGCTGCTCGTGTCTCTTCATATCTGCACAAAGCTTTGTGGGACGAGATCTTCGCTCTTGAAAGCGGAAACTCGGCTGAGAAGCCAGTGTTGGAGAGGGCTGGCGAGTTACCTCACAGGTTACCTCCAGCCAACGTGGGCCATCCCTTGGTGTGGTTCATGGGGCTGTACTGGGGTACAGGGCTGGGGCGGGGGGGTTCACCTGTTAGCCTGAAGCATAAACTTGAGAGCCAGGAGATCAGGCTGCTGTTCCCAGCTGTGTCTGTCTCCTCCTGTAATGGTGTCCTCCTGTGCCACAATGGCTGCTTCTCAGAAACGTGGCGTGTCTCATTTGGGCCAGGTCCTGGCACCGCTTGCAGAGCCCATTGAGCTGTTTGGTGGGAAGGTGCTGGCAGGGGACAGGCAACATACTGGCCTGTATTGCTGACTCCTTTCCTGAGATAAGCTGTTCATGAAATAACTTCTCCTCCTTGCCTCCTGCTTTTAGGGTTTTTGCCAAATTATTTACTACCTCCCTACGAGGAAGTGGTGAACCGACCGCCGACCCCACCGCCACTGGGAAGGTGCTGGCAGGGGACAGGCAACATACTGGCCTGTATTGCTGACTCCTTTCCTGAGATAAGCTGTTCATGAAATAACTTCTCCTCCTTGCCTCCTGCTTTTAGGGTTTTTGCCAAATTATTTACTACCTCCCTACGAGGAAGTGGTGAACCGACCGCCGACCCCCCCGCCACCATACAGTGCCTTACATCAGCAGTGCGTCCCAGCAGGCAGCAGTAGCACAGTCCCGGACACGCCAAGAAACCTGGCACAGAGCAGCTCGGCAGCGCCCAGCGGCAATAACAGCAGTACTGACGGCACCGGGTCCCTCGGCCTCAGGGACCCCGAGCCCTCCACTGCCACACTGGTCGAGCGAGCAGTTACCAAAATGCAAAGCGTCGAGCCTAGCGGTACCAGCACGGGAGCCGAGCTCGTGGAGAGGGCCGGTCCTGAGAAGGATACAGAGTGCAAGGAGGGACTGCTGAAAGGTTACAGCTCTGAGAGCTTGGAGCAGAGCAGCGCCATTCCTGACGCCAAGGACAAGACGCCGGGCAGGCAGCGCCGTTTCACCGGCGACTCAGGCATCGAAGTCTGCGTATGCAACCGGGGCCATCACGACGACGACCTCAAGGAGTTGGACGGGCTCATTGACGATGCTCTGGACGGGCCCCTGGACTTCTGCGACAGCTGCAGCGGCCGCCCGCATGGGGACGAGGAGGAAGGGCTTTTTAACGCTGCGGAAGAGCAGCACCGCGAACACAGCCACCACCACCTGCCCCGGCAGCCGGTGTGTGTACTCTTGAACACAATAAATGAGCAGGACTCTCCAAACTCTCGTACCAGTAACTCCCCCAGCTAAGGTGGCAGAGCAGAAGGGAGAATCGGGGGAAAAACAACACAGAAATAAAAGTGAAATAACAGGATTAAAACTTTAACAGGAGGAAAAGGTGATAGAACTTTCTTTTTTTTAGTTTATTTTTTCTTTCTCCCCCTCCAATATAATTCGGGGAGTAAGCCCCGAAGGCCTGGCTTGCGGGGGACAGGTCGCTCTGGGTTTTGTTAATCGTGTCCGTCCTGCTCCGTGGGGCAGGGACTGGTGTTTCTCAATGAGACCTTCTAACGAATGGAACTTTTCCAATGGTGATTTTGGTGATGGTTATTATGAGTTTGTTGGTTTTAGTTTTCCAGAACACTGCTTTATCTCGCAATCAGTAAAGCTCAGCAAATCTCACCCTGGGAGGATACGAAATCACCATAAGGCTGCAACCTCCAGGTGTCTTCCCAGAAGCAAGCAGCTTCTGACAGTGCCGGCAGTCAGTAGCCCAAGAGTTCTGGTTTGATATAGTGCTCTTGAGGCATTGGGGATTTCTTTTCTTGTCTCTCTTTTTTTTTTTTTTTTTGGTGATAAGTTTTCTCGAAGCTGATGAATGCCTGAACACATCAGCCCTATAATCTCTGGTGCTTCAGTGTTTAAGACAGCAGGTAGGAAATTTCCCACTTGAAGCTGGTGACTGAAGGACCAGTTTCTTCCAGAAGGAGTGTTAGTCTACCGCAAGCAGTTGGAAAAGAAAGGGTTTGCAAAAATTTGCCTTTGTATGTCATTTTTAAGGACGAGCTTATTCCTTCAATGCCTCCAAGAGCACAGTTAGAAGTAGAATCCAGGCAGCTGGGCTGCCTTCCAAGTACTGTGGTCTCCGAATGACCTTTTCCCGGTGTGCTGCAAAAGGGCTTGGCTTTATTTTTTTCCTTTTTTTGCACGCCGAGAGCAGCACACTCGAGTTAAGATGGCAAAAAAAGAACAGGGCTCTCTTTGGCCAGCGTGCCTTCAAGCTTCTGCAATGCATGTTGAACAAATGGAGATGAGAGCTCCGTCCGTTGCGAAGGAATGACTTACCATGTAGACGTGGAAGACGTGTGCAGTATTTTTTTTTTCTTTTTGATCCAGAAGTTTGGTGCGATTCTAATGTTGACCACTTAAAACAAGTGAATGTCTGTTTTCTTCTTCTTTTTTTTTTTATGGTGGCAACTGGCTACTGTATAATGTCTGTGAGCGTGTGTGTGTGACTGCAATCCATGCATGCGAGTCCTACTGGTAATATGAAAACCTGCTGTAAGACTGCAAGAAAATTTACTGTAGCTTTGCTTTAATAAACGGTAGAGATTTTGTTAGTAACAACCCGAAGGAAAAGAAAAAAAAACACGAAGAGCTGAAACTAACATTCCCTGGAGTGCTCGTGTGGAAGAGAGCACAGTGCAGACTGTGTGTCTTGTTCTCGGGTTTTCTCCCCGTCCCTTTTATAATTATGGTCGTGCAGATCATTACTGTTATGGGGGGAAAAAAAAAAATTGAAAACCGAACTTGGACATGTTCAGAGTTGATTGATTGAAAACCAAAATCAGTTTTAAATAAGGTGGAAACCAAAATATAATGCCTTTTCTGATAACTTGCCCACGTGTATGTGTATCATTTGGTCAGTTAAGAACAAGGTTTGTCTTTATTTGTGGGTGTGTTTGGGCTTTTTGCCTGGATGCCGTCGCGCTGTGCTGGGCACAGACGGCTGAGCGAGGCGCGTGGCGTTCGCTTCCGCGTGTTACCCGCACGTTTGAGGAGAGCAGCATTGACTCACGGAAGGGCAGCGTCTGGGAAGAGCTCGCTCCTTTGCCCGTCGCAGCCTTTCTCTTCCATCAGAGGAGCTGACGAAGATGGCTCTTCAGCTTGTGTCTCAGGGTGCTCTTAAGAGTGAAGGACTTTGGTTTGGATTCAGGAGACCTCGTTCCCGGGTGCCTGGAGCAGGTGAGTGGTAACAGAGGGGCTGTGTGTGCCCCAGCACCGGGCGGCCACGTCCAGCTGTGCTCACTGACCGCTTCGCCTTTGGAGAAGAGAATTACAGATCCCTGGTGCCACCCCGAGGAATTCTGTACGAATTGGCACCTGGCTTTGGTGTTCGCACCGCAGGGGAAGCTAAAAAAGCATGGAGTGGGATTTTACTGCTGTAAATCCTGGGGACGGCCCCATGCCAGCGGGAGACCCTCTGCCAACATTTCTGCTGGCGTAAGGCAAAAATCTCCCCTGTTTGCTTTCCTGCCATCCCGCTAAAGGCGGGGGAACCCCCCCACTTCTTCTCTGGACATAGAGGTGAGTACCAGTAAGCTGAGCTGGGGTTTCCAATCTTGAAAAGTCAGGAAGAAGCAGTGGGTGTGCCTGTTTCATGGCTGGGGGGGGGTTTCCAGGTGTTTAAAGACCATGAAGACAGAAAGAGCGTACAAACCATGTCTCTTACGCTCGTGTTCCTCGGGAGGAGCATGGCTACCAGTGTGGCGCTCAGCACTCCAGGCTTTTGGACCTGGACCAGGGGCAGCTGTCGTGGGGACGAGGAGTGGTGCAGGGCAGGACACAGGTGAGCTCTTGGTGCCTCCTTGGGAGAAAACACGGGCAGGCAGAGGACTCCCAGAGCTCCAGCTCTAGAGCTTTAGAAAGGTACTTGATCCTCGCGTGTATCTGTGGAAAGCCTGCGCCATGTCGTCGTGTGTTGGTACAGCCCAGTGCATGGGTGTTGGCTGAAGATGGAGGAGGAGGAGGAGCGGGTCGTGTGTCTTGGTGCTCGCCAGCAGCCTGGCTCGAGGCTGGGAAGGCCGAGGCGCAGTCAGGCTGCTCCTTACACAGAGCCGTCGGAGCTTCCTGGGCCAAGAAACCCCAGCGAGCCGCCGGGACAGAAGCAAAGCCAGCAGGCTCCAGTGACCGCCCTGGGCCATGGGGGCTGCGGGCGATGGGGGCTGCGGGCCCCT